AGACAGACAGACAGACACAGAGATAGACAGAAATAGAAATGGAGAGACAGAGACACTTCACTGAAGAAAAGGACTTCACTCATGAGGTCCTCCCTCTTCACCCATGGTGGCACCTGCCAGGCTGGTCACTGATAGCGTAGCTGCTCAGGCCCGGTGAGATGCCAGGCGGGTACCTGTCCTGAGTGCAGCTTCCTCTTCAGCTGTGGCGCCTGTGAACTGTGGCTTTCATGTGTGGAAGCAAATGAGCACCCAGCTGCAGAAGGCCCGGAGGCCCACGGGGGTGTCCTCACGCAGCATGGTGGGTGGCCCTGGGAGCCAGCGGGGGCCAGGGGACCCAGGACGCCCAGGCGTCCCTCTGCACTGTGGTTCTGCGCGGCACCTTCCATGCACCACACCCTGGTGGCTGTGTGTAGGGCTGGGATGTGACCCCACTTTCATCTCAGGTATCGCTCGCCTGGCTTCCACGTGCAGTCATGGTACGACGAGGTGAAGGACTACACGTACCCCTACCCTCACGAGTGCAACCCCTGGTGCCCCGAGAGGTGCTCGGGCCCCATGTGCACCCACTACACGCAGGTAAGGGGGCACCTGGCCCTGCCCCCAGGGCTCCCTCTCCTCTTCCCCCTTCTGTGAAGTCCCCTATACACACACCTGTGAAACCTGGGCACCATCCTGGCCTTCATGTCTGCCTTTAATTTTATGGTGGCACCGGAGGACAGACAGAGGGCACAGTGGTCCTCACTGCTGACCACAGACTCCTGGCTCCAAGCACTGCTGGGGCAGCTGCCACCCTTGGGTGCCTGCGAGTGTCTGTTCCTGCAGCGGGTCTCGGTTCCTATGCACTCCCTGTGCACACTGCCAGGCCCAGCCATGCGGGCCTCCTTGCATCACCTGGGTGCCTGCCCCTCCCTCGAGCTGTGACAGCCATGTGTTGTCTTCACAGATAGTCTGGGCCACCACCAACAAGGTGGGCTGCGCCGTGCACACCTGCCCCCGGATGGACGTGTGGGGGGAGATCTGGGAGAATGCCGTCTACCTGGTCTGCAACTATTCTCCAAAGTGAGAACCAATCGCATGGGTTGAAGCCCTACTGCCTGCTGGGGAGGGGCGTGGCACAGTCGACTCTGATGGGGAGGCCTCCCTCCGCTCACGCTTCTTGCCTGGGAGTGGGGTGAACTCTCACGGGCGCCATGGCAGTCTGTAGTCACCCAGCCTCTCCCGAGAGGGAAGAGCTCTGGGGCATCTTGGGCCCATCGGGGGAGCCGTCCCTGTGCCCCTGCCCGGTCCTGCGAGTCCCAGGCCAACTGAGTAGAGATGAGGGCTGGAGCCTGCAGAGGGCCTCAGGGCGTTGCCCTCCTGTGTCTGCAGGTGAGGTGCCCAGGTGTGGCCCCGCCCCAGTCTGCCGTCCTGGGTTGTCTGCTCCTTGGGCCATGATGCTGCAGGTCACAGAAGGGTGCGTGTCCCACAGCTGCCCTTGCAGTTTGCCCTCCGACGGCACCAGCAGGCCATCATCCTTGCCCTTCTTGGGAAGTGGCTGGAGGTTGGCACAGGCCGGACCTGGTTGATTTAACCTGGTCGTGAATGGCCCTGACTTCACGCTGGCCCCTAATGGAGCCCACTTTTCAGAAGAGTAGCAGAGGCCAGGACTGGGAACACTGACTGAGGCCACCCCATGGCCTACTTTCAGCAGGGCCTGGCTGGGAGGACTCCACTCCCTGCTTCCTGGGACTCCTCACTGCAGTGGGAAGCAGCTGGCTCCTGTCCTCCCTGCTGGCTATGAGTGGGTGAGCTGGGAGCCACTCTCCTGACCATGTCTCTGGTCTGTCCCCAGGGGAAACTGGATTGGAGAGGCCCCCTACAGGAACGGCAGGCCCTGCTCCGAGTGCCCGCCCAGCTACGGCGGGGGCTGCAGGAACAACCTTTGTTACCGAGGTAGGGCACCTAAGGTCAGCCTTCCCACCCGCGCTGGCCTCCGTGGTCTGCCCCCACTGCTGTGTGCACAGAGCCCCAACGTCCGCCACGATGGCTCCCTGGCGGGGCCCCTGAGTCTTGAACATCCTGTCCTGTGTCTCCTCCCAGCTTGGTTATAGCTGGACCTAAAATCCCAGAAAAGCACTGAGAAGGTCCCGATGTGCAGGTGTTAACTGGAGCCAACTTGCTTCCTGTGCCCTTGTCCCCAGCACATCAGAGCATGTACCTTCCTTTTCCTGGGCCTTTGTCCTAAGCAGAGCACCCTCCTCCTGCCACCCACGGGAACTGAGTTTCCTCTGCCGGTGGTGGCAGTTCCCTTGTGGGCACTGGGTGGCCCCGCACTGGGAAATGCACCTTTCTGACTGGCTGATCATCTGCGAGTTCCTGCCCCATCTGCGCAGCTCCTGTTTTTTTGTATGTGATACACGTTTCTGCCCAAAGCCTCTTCCACATCTTGGGACTGGCCCCGAGGAATAGTATGGCGGGCCAGGGACCTGTGTCCACGTGGCTCTGTCACAGGCCCAGTGATGGCCAGAGGCCTTGCAGGATGGTGGGCGGCTGGGACACACACTGTGCAGATGACCTGTAGGGTCAGCTGTAAGGTCAGGCCTGGGGCCAGGGTCCCGGGCCCTCCCAGACCTCTGTGTTCTGTACCTAGCGAGCTGTTCCCACTCCCTCTGCCTGCTCGGGGGACGGCACACCCCTGCCCTGCCCCTGGGTTTCCTCGACTCATGGACAGCTCCCCTGTCCCCTGGGTTCTCATCACCCGAGATACCTGGGAACCCTGTCACCCTGTGGCAGTGGCTCCAGGGCCTCAGCTGTGGCAGGTGTGTCCTGTGGGCTTGAATGAAGACACCTCCTTCCCACAAAGACTCATTTTCAGAAAACAAGCCCACACAGAGGCCTCAGATTCCAGTTTACCCAGGAAAGGTCCGGCCGTGTTCCTGACTCTGTATTTTTGGTGGAAACTGCCCAACTTTGCTTGGCAGGCCTGTGGATTCTCTTAGCTAACTATGTGGAAAGTCTCCCTAAAGCGCCTTACTAAGTAAGCTGCTTAGCAAGTGTGAGCGTGCTGCCCAACCGGGCCCTAACCTGTTACCGCGACTCGAGGCTTTAAGGATCAGGATCCAGTGAAAGCAGTTTCCTTCCCTGGAACCTCCCTGTGTGGGGACAGTGGGGGTGGATTGCAAGGGCAGAGCTCAGCTTCCTGCCGGCTGCTCCCTGCTGTGTGAACTTGGGGTGCTCCCTTTGCCTCTCTGGGTCTCGGTTTCCTCCCAGTGGTGTGGGGCAGCAAGCTAGGGAGGGGCCATTTGCATTAATGTTTAGTAGAGAGTTGTGAGCTTTGTCACCAGTTTTAGAACCAGGACGACATGGGGTATGATGTATGGGGGCCGGGCACTGAGGAGCCATGGCCACCACCTGCAGGGCTGGGCATCGGCTGTGCCCACCACCTGGGGGTGCCCCACTTCTGGTGTGTGCATCTGAGGGCGCTGACTCAGGCTGGCCCCTCAAACAGCGAGCCCTCAAGGTGCCTGGCTGTTTCGCCAGACTGCAGCAGCCAAAGAAGGCTGCAATTATGAGCCTCAAGATGCTGCAGGCAGTGGAAGAAACCAGGCTTGTTCCTGAGGCAGCCCGGCTCCCACAGAGGCCACACTGAATGGCTGCATTGACGGGAGTGGGGCCGGCTGCTGCGTGCATAGTCCTGCTGCCTGTGGCCCTGCTCCGGGGAAGCTTTCTGGATGTTCTTAAATTGTAATGGACCCAGAGTTTCCAGGGTGTGGATGGCGCATTCATACAGTTTGGTGGAGCACTGGGGGCAGGGTGCCCCACGAGCGTGGCGTTTTGGCTCCTGGGCTGGGGCTGTAGCAGATAACAGCCTAAGCGTGTTGCCGACCTGACTAGGCTCGAGATGGCGCCGCGTGTGGGGCCTGCACCGCAGTCCCAGCACGCAGGGTGAAGCAGGAGCGTGGCAACTGTTCACGGCTAGCCTGGGCAACTTAGTGACTTAGCAGGATTTTATCTCAAAAAGTAAAAAGGGGGCTGGGAATGTAACTCAGTGTGAAAGCCCTGGGTCCAATCCCCAGTGCCACCACACAAAAAGGCAAAAAATAACAGGACAGGGACCAGCCTCCCAGGTCACCCCGCCGGTCTACCTATGGGACCAGGTTGCCTAGGTGGGGGTACAGTCACCAGGAAGCAGCTAGGGAGTGGAGAGCCCCCGCCTGGGGAAGTCTCGGAGTTGCTCAGGGTGGGGTTAGGGTAGGGTCGGGCTGACGGTCACATGGACGGACGTAGGATGCTGGGTCAGCCCTCGGCTGGAGAGAGCTTGGCTCAGATGTGGAAGTTAGGCCATGGCATTGATAGATCTCGATGATTTGACTTTAATCCCAAACCTGGAGGCCTGTGAGGAGCATTGCTTCCCCAGCTGGAACCCACCCTTGCCCAGCACACCTGCTACAGCACCCGGTGTGGAGTGGTTTGCTGACGACCTTTAGACTCAAGATGGCATGAAGGCGGTACCCAGCAGACGCAGTACTTCAGATTTTGAATTTTGATCTTTTATGGGCCGGCAGGGAGTGGCACAGTTCCCTCTCTGGATGCCCCGCTGCAGCTCCTGTCAGCCATGCAGGGATTGAGTCTTCCTTACGGAGCAGGCTTTGGTCAGAGCACCTGCCCAACTGGCCGGGTGTGCGCGCTCTGGGCACGCTTACAGCCGGCTGGGCCGGGCTGTGTGTGCCGTAGTTCAGGCTGCTAGCTGCGTCTCTGAATCCAGGTGCTTTCAGCTGCTGGTAGGTTTGTTAGGCAGGAGCCCTTGAGGAGACAAGGGACTGGGCAGGGAGGACCCCTCGGTGCCGCGCAGGCCTGCTGACCTCCCCCCACCCAGCTCACTTTTGAGCCAAATCAGCTTCCAGTCACTTTTTCTGGCTTAGATTTAACCAAGGGCATCCTGGTGGTCTGCGGCCAGCTCATGGTGGGCAGCTTATGGCCAGCCTTCATGATGAAAATGAAGATCTTTAAATTGAGGTTCAATTCTGGCCATTTGCCCAGTGGATAAAAATGCCTTAGTGCACAGGGGTTGCACTCACGCCTGGAGAAACAGAACATTTTGATGTCCTCTCGGGGCAGAGGATTGGGGCCACAGGCACTTCCTGCTGTTGACGGGAGCTGGCCCTGTGGGTCACAAGGCCTAGGGGCCCTGAGTGTTGGCCAGCCCAGCTCCAGGTGGAGATGCAGGTCCAGTTGGCTGCGGGGTCCCCTGACTCCAGGCTACAGAAGAGCACAAAGTAATGCTGGTGGCGAGGGGTGGTGGGGGTCTGAGTGTGGCACAGTCTTTGTGACCCCCTCCTCCACAGTCTCCGAGGAGCGGAGGGACTTGGGGAAGCTTCGGCTTTGGGAGCTGCCCCCTCTGGCAGGTGTCAGGGAGGTGGTGCGGGAGGTCATTCTAAACCCCCTGTTTGGGTGCTGGGGTCAAGGCAGACACTGTGAACAGGGACAGTCCCGTCCCCTAGAGGACGGGCTCCTCCTGACCTGTGTTTCCAACACATACCCATCCCTGTTCCTGAAAGAAATTTTTGCAAAACCACGCCACAGACAAGTTTTAGTTCCAAATTGCACCGTTCCCCTACAAAGTGCATGTCTGTTAAACTGCACTGTGTTGCTCTTTTCTCACCCGCCACTGTGCAGAAGAGGCCCACCTCCCCACGCGTGAGACAGATGAGATGAACGAGGTGGAGACGCCCCCAGCCCCCGACGAAAAGCACGTCTGGGTCCAGCCAAGGGTGGTCAGGCCCACGAAGCCCCGGAAGGCCTCTGAGGTCACCCACATGAGTGAGTGCAGGGGAGGTTCTCTGGGGCGGGCGGTGCTGGGGAGCAGGGAGCTGAGTGGGCCCAGGCTGACAGGGAGGGGAAAGGAGGCCATGGGCAGACCCTACATGGTTTCCAGAAATGACATTCTTAAGTCATGGAAGAGTCTTTGGGTGCCATTACTTGCCAGGATATATTTTCCAGTTGGACTTTCTTGTGTCCTTTCGAAAGAAACCTGGCTGAAGTTGGGTTCCTATGGAATGGCTTCTGTGAAATGTGGGGGATCAGGCCTGTGTCGGGGCTGGGCGAGCGCTGAGGTCACCATTTCCCCCATCTCTGCTGAGCGGGCAGTAAATGCTTTTCTGGACCTCTGTTACTCCCCATTCCAGAATCCCTGATGCCTGGTGCCCTCCTGGCACCCCAGCACCACCCCGAGAGCTCTCTGCCCCCTGCTCAGGGGCCTCAACTCCCCTTCTGCTTTCGTGGACGCCTGTAGCTCTGCTTTCCCCAAGCACCGGGCTGGCCTGCGTGTGGGGCCCATCCTCTCGGAGCCCCGCTGCCCCTCACCAGCCTCCAGCCTTGGTTCCTTGGCACTCCTAGCCCTGTGCCAGAACCCAGGACTGTCCTGAGGCTAGCTGTGACCCTGCTTGGTTCAGAGCTGAACAACAGGGCTGGGTTTTTTCGTTTGTTTGTTTTTGGTCTTTTTGAGACAGGGTCTCACTGTGCAGTCCAGGCTGTGTTTGAGCTTACTTTGTAGCCCAGGCTGGTCTCAAACTTGCAACAATCCTCTTGCCTTGGCCTGCTAAGTGCTGGGATTACAAGTGTGCACCCCCTTGCCCAGCTCAGGGCCAGTTTTAATAACGCAAAATTGCGACACGTGTTGTTTCAAATAATACCAGCCTCTTGGACTCTGATGTGTCCCTGTGAGGTAAAACAGGGTGCCTCCCGCTGCTGCTGGGAGGAGGGGACAGTCCCCTCCTCGTCCATCCATGCTCGGGGCAGGGCCTATGCCCCCGACGCCCCTACTTAAAGTTCCCAGCCCCTGTGGCGGCTGCATGCTGTGGCCTGTCATTGGTGTGCAGACGCTCTACGTGGTAGGCACTTGGCAGGACACACTGCATCGTACAGGGGCTCTTTTGCCATGGCGTACACTTGTGATCCCGACGTTCTGGGAGCCAGGTTCCTCACCATGAAACACATTTCCCTTCCTCTGCAGCCCAGGTCGTCCATTGTGACACCAAGATGAAGGACAGGTGCCACGGCTCCACGTGTAACAGGTGAGCAGGGCCAGACTCTGCCCCAAAGCGCCGGCCGTAGGTACAGGGCAAGGTCAGTCAGCCAGCTGGCATGGTGCAGGCTCTGGCAGTCGCGTGGAAAATGGTGCCCACCCCCGGGACATAGAGCCCATCTCTTCCCCCACGTGCCTGCTTCTGCATTCCAGCTGGGCTTTCCCTTAGGGACCTGCTGGTCACTGGTTTAGAAGGGAACTGAGGGGCCACAGGGGGATTCCAGCTGGGTTGGCCTTGGCACGGGTACCCAGGCCTCAGGGTGGACAAGGTTACTTCTCGGGGCCCATCAGGGACAGCCCAGTACAGAAGGGACCTGTCCAGCAGCCATCAATGTCCCTCAAGAGGTCGGAGAGCGTCTGCCAGGACCAGTGCAGCCGGCAGTGCCTGGCCAGCGGGATGCCCGCCGCACGCAGCCCCTCCCTCAGGCCTATGGTGGGGAAGCCGTGTCCGGAGAGGGCGTGGTACAGCTTTCTTTCTTCCCTTTTTTTTTTTTAGCTTTCTATGAATTCTGTCATCAGTTTGTCTAAAGCTGAATAGAGCGATCTAAAGCACCTGCTGAGAAGTGAGCGCCGCCCTTCCCATCTTCTCATGGGGCTTTGGGGCCTGGTTTGCCAGGAAAACGCTTGCTTGGGATGGTGGCCTTTGTGCCAGCCAAGGGTTGGTGTGCCCCAGGGCGAGCCCACCCTCAGCAGCTCTGGTGGCTCTGTGTCACTGTGTCCGAGGAGCCTATGTGGATGTCTGTGGGGTGGGATGGAGGGACACAGCAGGCGGTGCCCACACCCCGAGCCCCGCGGTCCTGTGCCACACTCTGCCCAGCTAGCTTGGCCTGAGGATGGCACACCCCCGTGCCCTCTGGGGAGGCCAAGCAGACGTCCCCAAGCCACCTAGTGGGGCAGATAGGACCTCTGGCAAGGAGAATGTAGAGTCTGTCCCCCAGCCTGGGTGCAGACCTCTGGGCCTCAGGTGTGACCTGGGCACCCCTCAAGCCTGGGGACACCCAGCCTCACCTGGAGAAGCCTCACACAGCCCGGCTTGTTTTCCTGGGTCCGACACTCTCACTCGGCTTCCATGATGTTCAGAGATTTTCCTAAGGAACTCGGGAAAGCCGCAAAGTATGAAGCCAACAGGAAGTGTCCTGGAGCCCCCGCCCCCCCCCCCATCTGATGGGTTTCCTCCCAGGCCTTTTGCTATGGGTGGATGAGGCCAATGACGCTTGCGCAGTTTCCTTGCGATTTTCACTTGCTATTTTGCAAAGTCCATAAATATTCCCCAAATGCTGCCAGCATATGTCCAGATGGTGGTCTGTTGGGCCATTTCCTTGTCACCTGCTAGCTTTTTTTCTGGTTTGCACCATTACAGACAGCTGGAGTATACAGCTGGCTTTTTACAGGGGTCGTGTACTCACCAGGAAATCCCAGTGTCCAGGCAGGAGCACAGGTGGGGGCTGTGCCCGAGCCTGCTCTTGCTCCGTGATGGCTAGAAACACCCCCTTCATTTGTGTGTCTTCAGTGACGGGGCCAGAAGGGTTTGGCACATCAGTAGTCCCTAACTATTGTTTGTGAGCCGTGCATTTGTCACCAGTCCCACACACGGGATGACGGTCTCTGAGACTGATGTGTGCAGATCCGAACTTTAGCGGGGGCTGGCTGAGCCACGACTTGTCCTAAAGGGATGGTGCCTCCACAGCGAGGAAGCATCCCTGAATTGGAGAATGAGCTGGGGAGAAGCACGTCGAGGACAGTGAGGCAGTCTGCCACCATGATTGTCCTCAGCACCGCTTTGTTCCTGACCCACAGGTACCAGTGCCCAGCAGGCTGCCTGAACCACAAGGCCAACGTCTTTGGGACTCTGTTTTATGAAAGTGTGAGTGGCTGCGCTGATGTTCTGCTCCGGCTCGTGTGGGAGGAACCCTGTGTAGAGGGTGGTTGGTTCCCGTAGGCAGGGCGGTCCTTTCTACCTGCGGTCAGAGCGTGTGTCTGGACTGCCCTGTACATGTGCTCAGAGTTCGACAGCTGGCTGAGCCAGCCTGGGTGTGACCGGGCCCCGCTGTCTGTCTGTCCACACTCCACTGAATGAGAAGAAAGGGCCATTGGTCATGCTCGTGGGTAGAGTGAGCGATCGGGTAAATTCCTGAAGATAAGCAAGATGGGCACAAGGACATGATTAGGGGCAGAGGTGACAGGATTGGGGTGACCTTCAGCCCAGCCTCGTGGCTTTTAGTGGGGTTGAGGACAAGGGCCCAGGGGTTTCCAACAAAAATGAATTCAGACCCCTGCATGGCCCTCCTCTTCGCAGTCCTCCAGCATCTGCCGGGCCGCCATCCACTACGGCATCCTGGATGACAGAGGTGGCCTGGTAGATGTCACCAGGAATGGGAGGAAGCCCTTCTTCGTCAAATCTCAGAGGCACGGCGTGGAGTCGCTAAGGTGACTGTGCTTGGGGCCCCGAGAAGCTTCCCCTGGGGTCCCGAGTTGTTAGCGAAGCTGTGGATGGTATCCAACCATAGGAAGCCAGCGGGGGGTGGGGGCGGGACAAAAATGATGCAATCCCATCAGGCAGAAGCAGCCCTGGGAGCCACTCGGCACACATTATTCAGCGGGGCTCTGAGTGCAGGCTCACTTGGCTGCATTTTGAGTCCTACTTGCCTGCATTTTGCTCTCCTGGCCACCAGCAGTGTGTGCTGGTGAATGGCTGATGGTTCTTTGTCTGCGTAGGCCTTTTTGTGGGGGGTGGGGAGCAGGGTCTTGCAGTGTAGCCCAGGTCGCCCTTGAATCTTGGTGATCCTCCTGCCTCAGCCTCCTAAGTGCTGGGGACACTTTATAAGGACAGGACATAAGGCCGTTACGTCCTGTTTCATTTCTTTGTACCTGTGATCCAACCCAGGGGCTGACACGCCGGCTGTAAATCTGAGACCTTAGGCTGTTGTGTCAGTGTTTAAACAAGTTTTGGGTTTAGTCCATCTGGATTGGGTTCAGGTTTGGGGGGGTTAGGTGCCACAAGTCCCCTGACTCCAGCTCCTCTGATCCTAAGCTGTTCAAATGTGGGTTGCACCCTTATTTCCTCCTCCCCATGAGGACTGCCACATGGATGGTGGCTTCCCAGGCAGGGGCTCCTTCTCCTCTACCTGCTGGAGCAGAGGTGCTGGTCACCTGCAAAGCTGGCCCCATGGGGCTGCAGGGTCTGGCTGGCCTAGCTGTTTTGCCTCCTCCGCATGCCCTGTGGGCCAGCTCCTCCCTGGGGTCAGGCCCCTTTCTGTTAGGAAGGTCACAGCAGGACCCAGCTGCCCCAGCAGCCTGGCACCAGGTGGAGAGCTGGCTCAGGCTGCCTTAAGGGCAGGTCTGGTGTGCCATGTGGTGCTGGGGATTGAACCACAGGCCCTTGCCCCTGACTCATTTTGCTCAAGAAGGCGCTTTAGACAACTGAGCTAACGGGCCGGCACCCAAGAGCTTCTCTAAAGCAGTACTTAGGAAAGAGCTGCACGCTGAGCACTGGGAAGCCCGACCCCCACCAGGAGCCCTGCCCTCTCCGAGACCCTGTGCCTGGTGTACAGGGGGTGGGGCGTTGGGGACCCTGCCTCCTGTCTGCAGTGCAGGGCCTCAGTATGTCTCACAGTGCTCATTTTGGCAGCCTGCCCCTTGGACATGGGCCCACAAGAAGGGCTCAGGACTGCCCTGGTCAAGGCCTGGGAAAGCAGGGACAGATGCCCCTGTCCTGTCCCTGTCCCCATTATGAGTCACTTGGAAGACTTTGAAATCATCGAGGGATTCCCATTTGCAAGGCCTCCTGCCTCCAGGGATGTGGCAACATTTCCTCTTCTGTCCTAGGGAGGGACCTGGCCGGGCTTAACACTTTCTCGGAGACGTTGGCAGCCGACCAGCATCAGCCATGCAGAACAAGCAGGGCAGCCATGCAGCAGGGCACAGGGTGGAATGCTGGGGTCCCTGGGCATCACGGCATGCCTGTGCACAGGTCCCCGCTGCAGAGCAGGGGTTCTCCTGTGGCAGCACTCACGCCAGTGGCAGTGCATTGTGCAAGAGCGGGTCTAGAGGCTTCTAGCAGAGTCGTGGGCAGCAGAGGGGAGCAGCCCAGTTCCAGAATGTTCCAAGGGGCGGGGAGGACAGGAGTCGAGGCTGCCGTGAGACACCTGTGTGCGGTGCTGCTGCTTCTCAAGCACTGACCTCGTGCTTTCTTCTCCAGCAAATACAAACCGTCCAGCTCATTCATGGTGTCAAAGGTGAAAGGTAAGTGGGGCCAGGCCCCAGGCCGTGGGCTGGGTCGGGTTAGGTCTCCCGGGATTCTCACTTCCTTTGGTCACCAGTGTCATGCTGCGGGCTCTGTGTAGTCCGCCTTGCCCGCTGCTCTCTGCATGCCTGCCCTGGTAACTGATCTGTCCCCTGGGGTTGCCATGGTGCTGATGCCCGGGTCTGGGCTCACTCCGGGGCTCCTTGGGAGGCAGCTATTCCTGTCCCTTGGTAGCAGCCACCTGGAAAATTGTGCTGAGGATGTGGGCCCTGTATGGGCTCCGCATGGGCAGAGCTTGATCGATTAGTGATGTCTGCCATGGCCAGCGAGGGAGGCTCTCCCTGCTGTGCTGCCAGAGGGGTGCAGGCTCTGCTGGGAAGCAGGGCCAGGCAGGAGCTGCCCAGAGTGCTGTGCTCTGGGCAAGGGACTCTGGTCATTCTCCCGGGAGGCAAGAACATCTGCTTAACGACCTCCATGAAAATATGCTGTAGGGTTTTTTTCCCTTATTACAAAAACAGTGCCTACGTGATCTAGACCATTTAAGAAATAGAAAGAAACACTTCGTGATGTTTTAAAGCATATACTTGGCCTAAATTTCACTAGAGATAACCACTGTGAGCATCTGGGTGGATATTCTAGTTTATTATGCCATGTATTAAAAAAAGACATATCTCAGTAATGGATAAGCTTTAAAATTTGAGATGGAATTATTTATAGTTTGGTAACCTGCATTTTTCTTTAAATAACTGTGAGTTAGGAACATAGTTCAGTGCTTTCATTTTTTTATGTTCCTCTAAACCCAACTTCTGTGACTCCCCCAGCCTCTCACTGACCAAGTGCTCCCGGGTCCCCATTGGTCTTTGAAGGGTGGCTACGGAAACCCGTGGCCTGTGCAAGTGACGGACTGGACCAGGCGCAGTAGACTGGCCCTGGGCCAATCTGCCACCAGCAGTGTTTCTGAATAAAGTTCTATTGGGACACAGCCACTCCCACTTGGTGACAGGCCAGAGGGGCAAGGTCCTGATGCAGACGTCGGCCCACAGAGCTGACACGCCGATTCTCTGTCGTCTGGAGAGAGAGCTCGCCCAGGCGTGGACATGCTCTCAGAGGCCAGTGACAGGGCTGCTTTTAAACACAACAGGACCTCGAAGGACAGTCACCTGCCCACAGGCAGCGACTGGAGTGGGGCATCTTGGCTCTTCTGAAGGGCGGGCACAGCCATTCAGAGGCCGAGGCAGGAGGATTGCAAGTTGAAGGCCCGGTCTTGCACAAACCGACCGACCGACCCAGAGCACTGCCCAGAGGGTCGGAGTCGCGTGTGAAGACCCAGGGCTGACCCCTCTACCCACACACGTTCCACGTCTCTGTCCACAGAGCAGGACCTGGACTGCTACACCACTGTGGCTCAGCTCTGCCCGTTTGAGAAGCCGGTTTCTCACTGCCCAAGGTAAGGCGGGAGGGAGGCCGATGGTGCAGCGATGCGGTGCGTGCCCTTTGGGTGGCCTGGGCCACGGAGGAGGGCTCTGCTCCCGCCTCGGAGCTCCCGGTTTGCCATTCTTCTTTCTCAGTCCAGTCCAGGGTCTTGGGAAGCGGGGTGACCTTTGTGCCCCTAGATGGGCTCAGTGTTGGCCCTGTTACCTCTCCCGCTGCAGCCCCTGCCGACCACAGGGCCTTTCTGTGGCTGTCCAGGGGCCTGAGGCTGCCGTCGATTTGGGGGGTCTGGCTTCCTGTGCCCTCAGCTGTCAGAGCCCCTCTGCTGGGGGCGCCCAGTGCCCCTCCTCCTGCCCCCTCTGGCCCATCCGGGCTTCTGCCTGAGCTGGAGGTGCTGCCTCACAGCCTGATGGAGGGTGTCCTGGTCACCCCATCCTGGTTTCTGCACAGCCATGGGAAGGGCACACGGGAACGACCTCCATGGCGGTTTGGCAGAGGGGCCCCCAGGTGGAATGTGGCTGTGTGCTCCATTCCTACAACTGCTCCCCTCCTTGGTCACATTCAGCAGAACATTCTGACTTAACCCCACACACACACTGTGGGGCTGGGGATGTAGGATTCCCTGACCCCCAAGCCCTCTGGGGACAAGGACAGCCACCTGGGGGGCCAAGGGATGTAGCACCCCAGGCCGGGGCTACAAGATTCTGGAAGGCGACCCCAAGCCTGAGCAGAGGAGGCCAGGGGAAGATGATGTGGGAGGGAGGGGAGCCTCGATTTCGCCACGCTAGGACTGTCCCCCTCCTCACCCCCTTCACAGCCTCATGGACCCCCTAGCTTGGGTGTCACATGGGGTAACAGGCTTCTAGTAACTGCCTGGAGCATTAAGGAAAAACAGGACAAAATAAGGTCAGAAAATACAAAGAAAAATTTGACAGAATGCGTGTATCTCAGATGTGAGTTTCTTGCCTGCCTTTCCAGAGGATGGCAAATGACTCTCAGACTCCCAGTACTCGCACGCTCTCTGTCGCTGTCCCTGTGTCTGTCCCTGTCTCTGTCTCCCTCTGCCTCTGTCTCCCTCTGCCTCTCTGTCTCTCTGCCCACCTGCCCCTTCCCCTCTCCTCAGGAATGCTTGGCCTTGTGCCAATCCTCTGCTGCCCACCTGTCATAGGCCCTGTGGCTTCGGTTGCCACAGGGTGGCATGGTGGCCCCTGGGCTCCGGCCCGCAGTGCCAGGCTTTAGAGAAGCACAGCAGCCTTTCCTAAGCAGGCCTCATCTCCTTCCTGCTTGGAGGCTCCTACTGAGGCCCCTTTCCAGTCTGACGCCTTCCCTGGGCCTGCTCACCGGGTACCACAGCCCTGATGGCACACTCTGACAGCATGTGTGGGCTGCCACCCTCTCCACCAGTCTGGGGCGAGGTGAAGAGAAGCCCTTGGTTGATCCCCATGTTGCCCCCTCAGTGCTGGCCACACACCGGGGCTGGGACTGCATTCACACTGCGGCCTTCAGGGCCCCAGACTCCCGTAGCTGCTTGTGCAGGGTTTTGTCCCCTGTCCGCTGATGTCCCCTCCTGCCATTCGTGTTTGCCAGAGTCCGCTGTCCAGCCTACTGCAGAGACGAGCCGTCCTACTGGGCCCCTGTGTTTGGAACCAACATCTACGCAGATGTGAGTACACGCGTCCTCCTGCTGCCTCTTGGGCCTGCACCTCAGGAGTTACCCTCGTTCCAGGGCCTGTCAGGGCAACGCTTTGCCTTTTTGCTCTGGGGCCTGGGGTCTCCATCTCCAAAGGCGTCCTTGCGCCTCCAGGCCCCTGAGTGTGGCGTGTGCGGCTGTGCCTCGCCTTCTCCAAATGCCCTTTCCACAGCTGAAGCTTCCGGGCCCCATGCTGCCCTCTGGCCCATGTGTTTAGCAATCCTCCGGCTCTCAGAGCCGTGCTGCCTCCTGCCCGTCCCTGCAGAGCCAGGCCGAGGTGCACAGAGGGGTCCAGGCCCCCAGGCTGCACGTGGGGTCTGCACTTCCTGGTCCCTCCTGCCTTGTACAGGGATAATTTTGCCTGGTTTTTCTGGGGGTCCCTGGACCCTGCTGTCTGGGGCTGAGGGACACAGTGGCCTGAAAGACATAAACACAGTCCTTGCGCAGCAGCTGAAGGCTGGGTGGTCTTGCACGTCACCTACCTTGCTGTGGTGCAGCCAGAGCCAGGATTTTCCAGGCCAGGAGACTTCTGGACTAAGGTCCCATGGGTCACCCTTGCTGGTCCCCAACTGGCGCTGAATTCTGTAATCAGCCTCCCCTCAGCTTCTGTTTCTTTGGAAGGAAAGCTGAGACAGCGTCTCACTGTGCAGTCCGGACTGGCCTTGAGCGCTTGGCCATCCTCCTGCCTCAGCCTCCCGAGCGCTGGCATGACAGGCATGTGCACACACCTGGCTCCTCAGGCTTTGTGATTCCCCTCACCACCATCTTCACCCTCATCTGCCTTTAGTTGTTCCAGATTCCTTAATGTGAGGCAGCCTTCATGACTAAGCTCCCCACCCCTTTGTGTTCTACTTTAAGTAGCCCCTTTCTTTTGGAAAATGGTTCAGCTAAAATTGAATTCTAAAACTTAGGACTTTTTTGAAAGAGAAAATAAGGTATATTGATTATTACACTGGATGTGTGAACCATATGCTGCTGTTAAAGGACAGAGACCGTGATTTTAAGTGATTTAAAAATAAAGGGATCAGCTGGGCGTGGTGGCACATAGC